GCCGCGCGCATTCGTGTTCAAACATTGCAAGAGCTTCACCGATTAAGGGCGGATGGTTTCCAAATGTGGCTCTCGCCCCAGCGACGCGCACATTCGTTTTCAAAATGTGCAAGATCTTCACGGATTGAAGGCGGGTCATTTTCAAAATGTGGTTTTCGCATTAGCGCCGCGCACATTCCTGCAAAGAATTTGCAACAGCTTCACGGATTGATGGCGGGTGGTTTTCAAAATGTGGTTCTCGCCTTGGCGCCGCGCACGTTATTGGTAAAGAGTTCTCAGTGTTTCACGTATTCCCATGATCGACGTACCAGAAGTGGTCTTTTGGAATGATTCACGATTTCGAGGGCGCAACAGTTACGATGATTTGCGGAGCTGAGGTCCCAGGAATGGCGTTTTGGCACGATTCAGGATCGTCGAGAGGCAACAATGACGTTCATCCGTGGCGTTGGGATACCGAGAACAATGTCTTGGCATGCCTCAAAGTCTTCAAACGGTTGTCTTCCAACGAGGCAGGTCCCTCTATGGAAATGAACCTTTTGCGCGGGCCTATGAAAAAATTATCCTGGCGAAAGTCCCAACCATATGCAGTTGTGGGTACCGTAATTGTGAATATCGGCTTCGGTAAAGCTCCCTATGGGTCCACGAAGCGCTGCATTGGGCGGGAGGGAACGCTGTACTGTGGGTGGTGTGCCGAATGATGTTTACGGGACGCATGCGGACGGTCCCACTGAGGGCTTCGGTGGAGCTCCCTATGGGGCCACGAAGCGCTTTACTGAGTGAGCGAAAATGCCAAATTGGGTTACCGGGACGCATGCGGACGGTCCCACTGGGGGCTTGGGTGGGGCCCCCTATGGGGCCACGAAAGGCTGCACTGCGCAGGTGAAAATGCCAAATTACATTTCCCGGACGCATACGGACGGTGGCACTGGGGCCTTGGGTGGAGCCTCCTTATGGGGCCACGAAACGCTGCACTGGGTGGGTGAAAATGCCAAATTGGGTTTCCGGGACGCGTGCGGACGGGGGCACTGGGGCCTTCGGTGGAGCTCCCTATGGGGCCACGAAACGCTGTAGTGGGTGGATGAAACGCAGGGAGGAGGGGGAGGAGGGCCACGAAAAGCTGTACTGGGTGTGCGGGACGCATGCGGACGGGGGCACTGGGGCCTTCGGTGGGGCCTAATATGGGGCCACGAAACGCTGTACTGGGTGTGCCGGACGCATGCGGACGGTAGCACTGGGACCTTCGGTGGGGCTCCCCATGGGGCCACGAAACGCTGTACTGGGTGTGCGGGACGCATGCGGACGGTAGCGCTGGGACCTTCGGTGGAACTCTTTCTGGGGCCACGAAAAGCTGCACTGGGTGTGTGGGACGCATGCGGACGGTAGCACTGGAACCTTCGGTGGGGTTCCCTTTGGGGCCACGAAACGCTGTACTGGGTGGGTAAAACGCAGGGAGGAGGGGGAGGAGGGCCACGAAACGCTGTACTGGGTGTGTGGGACGCATGCGGACGGTACCACTGGGGCCTTCGGTGGAGCTCCCTATGGGGCCACGAAACGCTGTACTGGGTGTGCGGGACGCATGCGGACGGTAGCACTGGGACCTTCGGTGGAGCTCCCTATGGGGCCACGAAACGTTGTCTGGGTGTGCGGGACGCATGCGCACGGTAGAGAAGAGGGGGGGGCACGAGGGGAGGAGAACGCGGGGACCGTCTCTTCAAAACGAAGACCCAACACCACAGGATGGTTGGGAAAAAAGAAACTTTGGGGGGCATTCCAACATCGTTGGTGACACTTGGGTTTACACTGGTCCTCCTCCTCATCCTCCCCGTCCTCCTCCTCCTCCGTCCGTAGCCACTTTGGTTCAAGATGCTAGCTTCCCCTTTGGCCAAACGGATACCTCTAAGCCGCGGTTAGAAAACGACTTTGTTGGCCTTCGCCGTGGGACTTGGGCCCCCACGCGCAGCTTAAAATCCTTTCGGTCATGGCGCATCATGGCAAGCCGTGGAGTATCTGCGCGTGCGGGAAGTGGAAATACAACTGGCGTATCATTCAGACTTGTTACATGCACCATCATTGCCAAGGTCCACTCCACGTCTGGAGGGACTCATCCACCACCTATCAGCACCCGAGGAGCCAGAACGCCAAGCCCCCGCGCCGCGCTCCGCGGGCGCAGCAGTCCAAGGCCGACCAGCAGCAGCTCCTCGCCATCCTTGACAAGCTCACGCCCAAGATCCGTGAGTCCCCCACTGGAGTGGCGATCGCTGAAGAAATCGAGGACCACACCAGGGCAGAGAAGATCGCCGCCCAGGACAAGCCTGAGGCAGTCCACTCGCACATGGCCAAAGCGATACGCAACGCTGAACAGGAGAAATGCAAGCCACACACGCTCTCGGCCCGTCTCCAGGCGGCGCAGGAATACCTCGATTAGTGCAAGAGCGACCAGCTGGCCCAGGCGTCCGCATCAGTCGAGGCGGAGGCGGAGCGCGTCGAGGCGGCGCGAGCCTACGAGCCCAAGACCACCCAAGGCGTCGACCCTGGCACCACCTCGGGCGGCAAACGCGTCGTCGCCGCGTTCGATGAGCAGCCCCCCGCGGACCTCGACCAATATGGAGACGGGGCCAAGTAACCCTTGCTCACATGGAAGGCCAAGTTGAAGCGCCACCAGAACGAGATGCAAGAGGGCCAGCAACGACTCCAGGACCCCCCCCAGGGCGGCCCGCGCCAGTCGACGCCACCGCCAGCAAGAAGGAATGACACCGAAGGCGAAGGAGTCGCCGCCGATCCCCCCCCCCCCAAAAAAAAAGGGGGGCACTCCTCCGCAGACTAGCCAGGCGCCCAAGACTGCCAAGCCAACCTCGGCCGAGCAGCAGGCAGCAGCAGCTCAGGCCGCAGAGGCCGCCGTCGCCGCAGCCACCGCAGACATGGCCGCAGGGGCGAGCAACCTTGCGGCCGCAGCCAACGAGTTGGGTCGCAGGGCAGCGGGGCGTTCTCGCCAGGCTCCTGACGACGACGCCGCTGGCGCCCAGCCTCGAGCAGCCAGCGGGCGACACCGCCCGCTTCCTCTTCTCCAATATCACGGCCTGGGGCCCCCAGGCTGCGAAGTACGTTCACGAGAACCGCGACCGACCACTATGAGATCATGGCCACCGTAGAAAACCACGTAGGACCACCTCAGAGGCAAGAGGTCCGGACTCGGCTGTCCAAGGGTGCCTGGAAAAGACGCCATGGCCTCGGGGCGCAAGGACCCCACGCCCCGGCTTCGCACCTATGCGATGGCACCTCAGGAGCGGAAATGAACGCATCCTCTCCGCATGCATGCTCCCCTCGATGGGATTGCGTTTAAAAGAACCACGATGATCTCACAGCCTTGGCCCCCTGCTCTTCTCTGCCCAGGGCCCAAGGGTCATCCCCGGAGACTGGAACATTGAGCCCGATGAGTTCTCCCGTTCTGAATGGTTGGAGAAACTGGGCGGCACTTCGATCCTCCCGCAGGGCATTCAGGCTACGTGCAGCCAGGGACAAGACCCGCCTACACGACTGCGCCATAGCTAAGCGTGGCACAGATCATTTGTACAATCTCACACCAGTCCTTGCGAGGCTTGGTGGCACCAGGCGGTCGAAATACCTCGGTCGCCGCCAGTTGCTCGTCGGCCAAAGTCGGCCCCTGACCCCGGCAACAGACGCCCGCGAGGACGTCGAAGCAGGGAGGCTACCGCACCCACACAACAAGACTCTGGAGTTACCCCTCGCGCTGTTCAGGAGCACGAGGGGGCGCCCGCCAAGGTCTCCTTCTTCCTGCCTGGGGAGTCTTGGGATGCTGCTCTGGAGGCCGCTGCTGGTTTATCTACGGCGTCGGATTGGGCCAGCACGCCTGCGGGAGACCCACCTTGTCTCGCCGAGAACCCCCAGGCCAGCACGAGGTCAACACTGCGCACGGATATCGGGCCACTGCCCTTGAAGAGGCTCTCTTGGGTTTGGAGGGCCACCCTGATCGTGTATCCAGAGGTCGTCGTCGGGGTTTCTTGATCGTCTGGAGGCGTTCGAAGCCGACCCCTGGTAGAGCCCACCTGCGTGGCGAACCCGCCGAACGTTGGGCCAAGTTCGGTGCGCTCTTGGATAGATACGGCATCCTTGCTCCGAAGGGCCCCGACCCTCGGCGGCTACCTTGCTTGCATCCTTGCCACCTGTCGACGCCTCCTCTCATCAATCATGGATCAGGATGCTCCTCAGTACTTCGGGAAAGACTCCACTGATGACAGAGTTGCATGGAGCGCATTGGTCACAGACTTTGTTGGTGAGGCGATGGCCTTCGATTGTGACACTGCAGGGGCCGGCGACGATTGTGACCCGAACCCTCTCTCGCACGCCGCGTCTGTCTCGCCAGCATCTCAATTGGACGATAGGGTTCGGGCCCCCCACGAGGCAGTCTCGCCTAGGGAGGAACCGCAGGAGGTACGGCAGAGCCACGCCGCATGCGCTTCGATTGCCACGACGACTCCGATTTCGGCGACAGCGCAGCGGCCCAGCGCATTGGACGATGGCGATCGGGACCCAACGCAAGATTTGGACATGGAACACCTACCCTTCTCTGAAGCGACCCCTCCGATGGCGGCGGCCCCCTCTTCCTCAATTGCGCCCTCGTCTTCGGATACCTCGGGCGCGACGCTTACCGTACCTGAGAGCATGGAGGCCCCCTTGCGTTCGCAGCACCCTGCAGGACCAGTGCTCGGCAGAACCGCAACGGAGCCATGCTCACCGCGCTGGACCCCGCAGGGCAGACTCGCACGAAGGGGGAATCGCAGGAGGCACGGCAGAGCCACGCCACACGAGCGCCAATTGCATCCCCTATCTCAATTTCGGTGCCAGCGCAGCGCAAGGGAGACACGGGCGACCCTCAGTGGGACCCCTTCGAGGACCTGGAGCCCCAGACACCAGGCAAGCCAGGGAGAGATGATAACCCTCCTGAAGGACATCATCGAGAAGCTCCCTTCGCACGGCCCCAGGCCCTCACCACGAAGTTTGTCCGCCGAGCCCAAGCCCGCGACGTTGGCAAGGGCAAGCTCCAGTTCGCGAGATGGGCCCAGGCACGCTGGAAAGATAAGCCTGGTGCGCTCCATCGGAACGTTAGGGGCCCCATCAGCGAGGTGCCGGAGATCCACGGCTCCGCGGACCCGACTTTCACGATGGCTACCCAAGCGGACTACTGGCGGCAAGTTTGGCAGGACCCCGTCGATACGGTCTCAGATATCTTGGCGGCGCTTCGTCGCGACCGACAATGCGCCCAGGATCAGGACGCACCACCCCTCACCCTGCACGACTTGGACGAGGTACTTGCGCGGGCGTCGGCAAGGAAGGCCACTGGGATCGACAATTTCACCGTTGACGACCTCGCCAGGCTCCCGCGCGCCGGGCGTCAGGCATGCGTTGACCTCCTCAATCTCTGCGAGGAGCGAGGGACTTGGCCAGTCCAAGCACACGCCGACCACAGAGTGGCGACCGGTGGTCGGAGAGGCTCAAGGCGCACTGGGACACGGCGCCGGCAGGCCCATCAGCCCTGCGCGCCTCCATCAGACTCCTCGTGGACGAGGCGGCCATTGCGAACGACAAGCATGTTGCCTGCCTCTTGCTCGATTTAACGAAGTGCTGCGACAGCATATCCCTTGCCCTTCTGCACCAGTTTGCCGAGCGCGCAAACTACAAATGGTGGTGGCCCTCATGGAGGCTCGAATGCGTTTGGCCCCGCGATATCTTCGCTCGAAGTCTTGGGTCAACCCCCGCATCGATACCGCCAGATCTTTGGTGGCGGGCAGACCGAGGGGGTCAACCTAGCCAAGCATTTCATCCATCCGATTCTGGAGCACGTCCACAGGGAGCGGCCAGTACCAGCATTGCGCACTTACGTAGACGATACCTCCGCACGCGTCGAGGACTACAGCGAGCAGGTCGCCGCCGTCGAGACCACTGAAATTGGCAAGGAATTGGCGGCGCAATTCCGTAGATATCGGCTCGCCCCGCCTGAAAGTCCACACTGGCGGCCCCCAGTACGCGATTGGGCAAACGTATTGCGAGAGCCCGCGATACGGAGGGCATTCCCATCACCTACGCCACCTACGCCACCGACCTCGGGCTGGACACCACAGCAGGCAGGCGCAGGTGCACTAGGAAAGTCACGGCGAGGAGGACCAAGGCCAGCAGACGCGTCGGTCGGACCATTCGAATCAGACAACTCGGTACCAAGCTACACCGCGAAGCTGCAGGCCCATGGCCCACAGGTGCTCCCCCTCAGACCATATATGGACATCAAGCAGCAGGAACTCCACCCTCACGTTTACTTGCTATGAGGAGGCAAGCCACTGCATCACTCGCGGGCACCGAGAAGGGACGATGCCTAACCTCCACTTTGGCCTGTACCATGCAGGATGGGGACCCCGACATCCAGTTCCCTATCATCCTCATTCAGACTTGGTTCGATATCTGGTTTACTCGGCCTGGGTTACATCCAGCCGTTCGGCTCGCCTAGCCAACCATCAAGGACCAGGTCATCACCGGCGCGAAGGTCAATCGGAACAGAGTGCGAGGTCCCATCGGAGCCGTTACTGCTACCCTATGGCAGGTGGGTTGGACACCACATTCACCAGAGGCGTGGGAGCGACCCACAGACTGGGGTTTCCCAGCCGTTGGCTCCCAGGACTTCCATGGGGCTGACGCGTTGGAACTCATAGACGATTTCATCCACGACAAGAAGCTCCAGACGTGGCGCAAGACCTCGGACAACATCGACTCCCACGACCTCCAGCAGAGAGCGGACATGCTCGGAGTGGTACAAGAGGTTGCGCCGACACGAATACAACGGGGACCAGGATCTCTGCGCCACGACATTGACAGTCGCCAGAGGACGATGGCCCAAAGACAGACAGATCGCAGCAGGTTAATCATGTTCTCGTGTCTGCAAACGGTGTGGAAAAGGGACAGAGACGTCATAGCATCGAGCTTGGAATTGCGGGAAAAATCGAGGCCATGAGAACTATGATCGGTTCCATAGTCTCATCCCTCGGGCTGCCCCCTCCTGTAAGTCTGAACCCTCGTATTGGCGTCGGGGAGCTCCTGTGAGAACCCTCACCTGCGCCCCTTTCTCGGAGGAGCAGGTCTTGGAGAAAGACTTCTACATGTTCGGTGATCCCAGTGTGCTTTGTAGGCCTCCTGAGACTCCTCTTAATTTTTTGGGGGCGGCTCTGGAGGCCAGTACAGTAATGACCCTAGGCATAGGCGCTGAGGCTCGGCCGTACTGGCCCTCGAACAGAACTCTATTGATCCGAGCTCTTGGGCCCCCATTTGGGGAGCTTCTTTGCCTCTCTCGGGACGGAGATTGACGGTTCCCAGAGCAGAACTCCGTGCTTCTATCCTGTCTTTAAAGATGCTCCCCATGCCGTTTCAGTACATAACAGACCACCTCTATTTGTTCCCTGCCTGGAAGCGAGGTCGTTTCTCCAGAGCTGCGCCGAGGGAACAGAAATCGGACCTGTGGAAGGAGATCCATTCCCTCATCGCCCGCAGGACCTCCCCTGTCTCCTTCTCCTGGACGGCATTCCACCTCGAGCAGGACCCCGAGCGGTTCAGGACTTGGGAGGAGGCTTCCGCGGACGTCGGCAACGCCACGGCTGCCGCGCTCGCCAGCGAGGCCGCTGCCCGAAGACTCGCTATCTCCCTCCCCGCTGGCTGAGATCTCAGCGCGGTTGACTGCATCGACGCGAAGGCTGCCCTGATCAGTGCCAGGCCGCGTAGGAGTTTAATCGACACGCTCGATATCGACGGATGGGAGGGCAAGTGGGTGGGGGTCCTCCTCCTCCTCCTCCTCCTCATCATCATCATCATCATCAGCAGCAGCAGCATCAGCATCATCATCATCATCATCATCATCATCATCATCATCATCATCCTCATCATCATCATCATCATCATCGTCATCATCATCATCAGCATCATCATCATCAGCATCAGCATCAGCATCATCATCATCATCATCATCACCATCATCATCACCACCACCACCACCACCATCATCATCATCATCATCATCATCAGCATCAGCATCAGCATCATCATCATCATCATCATCACCATCACCATCAGCATGAGCATCAGCACCATCATCATCATCATCATCATCATCATCAGCATCATCATCATCATCATCAGCATCATCATCAGCATCATCATCATCATCATCATCATCATCATCATCAACATCATCAGCATCACCATCATCATCATCATCATAATCATCAACATCATCAGCATCACCATCATCAGCATCATCATCAGCATCAGCATAATGATCATCATCATCATCATCATCAGATTCATCATCAGCATCATCATCATCATCATCGTCGTCATCATCAGCATCATCATCATCAGCATCATCGTCATCGTCATCATCAGCAGCAGCTTCATCGTCATCGTCATCCACATCATCATCAGCAACATCAACATCATCAGCATCATCATCAGCACCATCAGCATCGTCAACATCATCATCATCACCACCATCACCATCACCATCACAATCGTTATCAGCAGCATCATCATCATCATCAGCATCATCATCATCATCATCATCATCATCATCATCATCATCGCCATCAGCATCAGCGTCATAATCATCATCGTATTCATCATCGTCGTCATCATCATCATCAAATGCGTCAGCATCATCATCATCATCATCATCATCATCATCATGAGCAGCATCAGCATCAGCAGCATCAGCATCATCATCATCATAATCACCATGGTTATCGGCATCGTCATCGCCATCAACATCATCAGCATCAGCATCGTCATCAGCATCAGCATCAGCAGCAACATCATCATCAACATCATCATAATCAGCAACATCAACATCAGCATCAGCATCAGCATCAGCATCAGCAGCATCAGCAGCATCAGCATCAGCATCATCATCATAATCAGCACCATCATCATCAACATCATCAGCATCATCAGCATCATCATCAACATCAGCATCATCAAAAACAATAACATATCACCATCAGCATCATCATGAGCATCATCCTCATCATCATCGGCATCAGCATCAACAGCATGAGCATCATCGTCATCATCAACATCATCATCAGCATCATCATCATCGTCGTCATCATCATCATCCTTATCAGCAGCATCCTCGTATTCCTCCTGCTCCTCCGCCTCCTCATCCTCCTCCTCCCCCTCATCTTCCCCCTCCTCCTCCTGATCCTCTTCCTCCTCCTCCTCATCCTCCTCCTCTTCCTCCTCCTTCTCCTCCTCATAATACGCATCCTCCTCCTCTGCCTCGTCCTTCTCCTCCGCCTCCTCGTCCTCCTCCTCCTCATATTCCTCCTCATCCTCATCCTCCTCCTCCGCCGCCGCCTCCGCCTCCGCCTACACCTCCGCCACACCCGCCTCCGCCTCCGCCTCCGCCAGCGCCCCCGCCCCCGCCTCCTCCGCCTCTTCCGCCTCCTCCGCCTCATCCGCCTCCTCCGCCTCCTCCGCCTCATCCGCCTCCTCCGCCGCCTCCGCCTCCTCCGCTTCCTCCGCCTCCTCCGCCTCCTCCGCCTCCTCCTCCTCCTGCGCCTCCTCCCCCTCCGCCTCCCCGC